GACTTTACACCTCAGAATAGTAGTAGGTCAAAATGGAACATAGATACAAATATGAAACCTGGCACCATAAAATTCTAGGAAAAAAGTCTGTGTGATCCTGGGTAGGTAAGGAATTCTTAAGACGTGACATCAAAAGCCCAATCCATCAAAGGAAAAAATTATATTATATTCCTTACTCAGAATAAAAATAAACTTGCTCTGCTAAAGACACTGTTAAAATAATAACAAAAGAAGATATGGACAGGAGAAAGTACTCGCACATCAAATATCCAACAGACAACCTGGATTAGAATACATACAGAATTCTCAAACAAAACTCAGTAAGAAGAAAACAAAGAACATAATTTTAAAAATAGGCAAAACCTTTGAATACACAAATACAAATTTGTCAAAGAAGTTATAATGATGGAAAGATAATCAACATTATTAGTCTTTAAGGGAATGCAAATTAGAAGCATAATTCAGTAATATGATGTACCTTCTAGGAGCTAAATCTAAAAGTAATGAGAGCCCAGCACTCACTGGGACAGGGAGCAAAAGTACATTGTCAGTAGGAGTGTAAGGTGGCACAAGCACCCTGGAAAATGGCTTGTTAGCTTCTTATGAGGTTGAACATAAATCATTAGGAATTTGCAGTCATGTTCCTAGCCTGCCACTCAAGAGAAACCACAAGAAAAAGTATGGCTAATGAAACCTTGAACATAAACATTCATGGCGATACTACTTATAACTGCCAAAACACCAGAAGCAACTCAGAAATCCTCTGACAGGTGAGTGAGTCAACTGTGGTATATCCATACAATGAAACGCAACTCAGCATTAAAAACGGATTCATGAGTGCAATAACTTGAGCTAATGTCACAGAATTATGCTGAGCAGAAGAAGCCAGTCTCTAAAGATTGCATACCATGTGACTCTATATACAGGACATTCTCAAGAACACAAAACTATGGTAATGGCGAATAAAAGTGGTTAGGAGACTATAAACAGACAGGACAAGAAAGCTTCTTCGGGGTTGGCAGAACTGCTTGATTCTCAATTACAGAAGTGGTCACAAGGATCTCTACATACATCAAGTTCACAGGAATTGTACACCAAAAGAAAAACATCAGGACTGGGAGTGTAGCTCAGTGGTAGAGTATATGCTAAGGCCTTGGTTTTAATCCATAGCACCAGAAAATAAAAAGGAGAGAAAAAGAAAAAAACCTTCAATTTTACTATATAATTTAACAAATAATTTATTTAAGAAATCATTTTTAAAAGCTAGAAACAAATGTCCACAAAAAAGAAAATACTTAATAAAACGTAGTATGTCCTTAAGATAGAATACTCCTCCACAAAAAAAAAAGAGAGAGAGAGAGAGAGAGAGAGAGAGAGAGACGGACCTATTGATATGTGCAATTTATGCTGAGATGGGGCAGGTTCAACAAAATAGCCCTTAAATGGCCCTATTTCTGTGAAGTTCCAGTAAAAGGTAAAATTAACCTACAGTGAAAAATGCCAAAAGAGCAGTTTCCTCTAGGATGACAGAGAAGTGGCACAAAGAATTTTTCTATTATGCTGAAAATGTTACATATTTGAAAAAGTTTTAATGATGAGTAAAAAACTATATATTTGTGGTATGGCACACAATACTGAGATGTGCGTGTACACCGTGGAGTGGCTCGTCGAGCTATTTAACATATGTATATCCTCGTATATCATTTGTGGTGAGAAGACTTAAAATCTGCTGTCTTAGCAATCTTCAAATATAAAATATTGTTACCAACCTATGGTCAGTACAATATACGTTGTTTGTCTTGACACGAGCGTGACTGACAGGTTTCTGCATTCCTTCAATCTTTTTAAGTACTTCTCTTTAAGAAATGCATAATTCACTAGTTATAAATGTTACTTAACTATTGGAAATTATACTGAATTCAATTTTGGAGGTTTTCATTCACAATGACATGGCAACCTTAAAACACCTTTTTATTCATTTAATATTTGAGCGAGCAAATAACTCTACTGAGGATAATGGGAAGAGGCTTCTGGAACTGGAGCAGCACACTGCAAATATGGAAACAGGAAGGCTAAAATGAACATTGTGCTTTAGAATTAGAAATATTGTTATGAGTTGGGTGTGGGGGCAAAGGCCTATAATACCAGCACTCTGGGAGGCTGAGGCAGGAGGATCACATGTTCAAGCAAAGCCTGGGGAACTTAGTGACTTAAGGAGACTTTGCCTCAAAATTTTAAATATTTATAAAGGACTGAGAATATAGCTCAGTGTGAAGGCCCAAGGTTCAATCCTTTGTAACACACACACACACACACACACACACACAGAGAGTTTAAGTATGACGTCATGGTTTGTATTATTCTTTCTACGCACATACACAAAGGTGCACATATGCATAAATAGACAGATGAGGAAATAAATGACTGGTTTTATATGTAGCCATTTATATGTGTATTTGTTTCCTAGCCTGAAAGGACTCAGAAGCAGTAGCACACAAGTCACAATAAGTACAACTAGTCCTCATGTACTTTCCCATATACTACTCATAATGTACAGAGGGGAAAATTTATAATCAAGAAACTTGGAGGACCTCAATTTACTCATGTGATCACAGCAAACATGGACATAATGGAAAACACCATGTACCTCTTACTGTGAGGCACTGCAAAGACAACATTACTTCTGTGGTATTCTGAAAAAAATGCACACCTTGAATTCCATCAGGGGAAATAACAGAAAACCCAAACAGAAGGATATTTTACAAAATATGTAATTGGCACTCTCCACAAATATCAAGGTCAGCAAAGTTAAAAGAAGTCTAGGAAACTGTTCCATACTAGTGTCCAAAGAGATACGACAATTAAATGTGATGCCTGATCCTGAATTGGACACTGCACCAAGAAAAAAACAGCAATAAAGGACATTACTGGACCATATTTAAGCAAGGACTCTGGATTAAATAATAGAATTCTATAAATACTAAAATTCTTGATTTTATAATCATACTGTGATTATAAAATAGAATATCCTTGTTTAGAAATAATGCACACAAGTGTTTGAGACAAGAGGTATGATGTCTACAGGGCCCATAATAAATTCTGCACATACACAAGCACCAGGGAGGGGCAAGGAGAGAGAAAAATAGAGAAGGTAGGAAAAGAGGAGAAAGGAAAGAAAAGTGAAAAGACAGAAAAGAAAGCAAAACTGGTCAAATGTAACCAATTATGAATATGGGTAAGAAAGAGACATGGTAGTTTTGCCAATTCAAATGAAAAGTAAGAAACCAGAACAAAACAAAAATAATGAGGCTAAAGAAAAGTAAGGTAAGGTAAGAAAAAGGCAAAGCAAAAGCACTGAATCCAAAAAGAAGCTGGTTAGATCTTGTTCTGTTTCTTTAGATGACTAAAATGAAAGCCTGATATCTTGATTAGAGGGTAACAAATGAACACGATGAGGAAAAAATCAGTCTTATTTGTCTGAAGAGAACAAGCAGCTTCCGGGATATTTATTCAAAATTACCCTGTATAATATAGGCTAGGTAGTACTTTTGATAATTTATCCTAAATTTTTCTAAACTTTGATATTTAGTAGACTTTTTCATTAGTGTGCAAATCCTCAGTGATTTCAGTGTTGCTTCAATGAGTTTTGATTATAAACCCTTACAGAGAGTGTTACAGAAAGTATTAATAAACTGCTATTATCCCACTGCAATCTAATAGTCTGATGATTTTATACTTTTAGATGATGAAAATAATTGGTCAGGTAACTAAAGATGGGATATGGATTAGCTAGAAGTCCTATAAACATAATCAAATATAAAACCCAGAGCCCTGAGAATGCTCTCCTTTCTTCTACCTATGTCTTTTGAAGCCTGCCCTTTTCAAGGACCAACCCTTGCATGGACTGCTGTGATCAGTTAAATGGAAACCAAGAGTCTGGCTCCAACTCCTTATTTGTCACCACCAGGCACAAGCACATCCACATCTCCATGGCAGGAAGGGTGAGGCCCAGGCTCCACAGGATGAGATTCACAGCTTGGGGGATGTGATTATGTACTGCAAACACGGACAAGTAAGAATTTAAAATTAAAAAACTATCTGAACCACAAATAAAATGCTGAAAAACCATACAAAAAATTTTAGGTTCTTAAAAAAACAGGGCGGGGGAAGCTCAATGGTACAAACCAAAGATCACGGCTTGGCAGGAGCAGACACAGCTCCGAGCACACCCTCGGGTCGCCAGTAGCTTTTAAACAAGCAAAAGTGGGTGAGTGAGTGTTTCTTCTCCTCACTCTGCTTGGCAGGGAGCTGCAGACCCTGGCTCACAGCCAAACCCTGGGAGCTCTCCGCGGGGCGATTGTCCCCACCTCGGATGAACTTCAGCTATTCCCTTCACTAGCTCCAGCTCCTTATCTAACAGTGAACACCCCACGTGAGCAAGCCAGCCTTCAGCCCTAAGGAATCTCTCCTCTCTGAGATTAGCAAGTGTTAACTATCTGCATAGATTTATAAAGAATCTATATGTTGCAAAGGCCCTTGGCATGTTGTTAAACAGGTGAATAAAGGAGGCTTAGTGACACCTGGCAAGTTGGTCAGTATTTTCCTATAGGCTAGGAATGCACTTTCATTTTTTTCACTTGAAACAATGAACTACTGGCTTCTATTCTTTAAGTATTGCCTTTACTTTTCAGAAAAAGTAGTACTACTTTAAGTGAATTACCTTATTTGAAAGATATTAACTGCACCAATTAATGTTTCTGTTTATTGTTTTCGCTGCTTTTAAAAATAAAAAGTCAAATCACTTGCATTTATATTCTGTTGGAAGACTATGGGTTACTTTAAGCAGGAAAGTGCATTCTGACTAGTAGATTGATCATCGGGATGCTTTTCTTTTCACTTTGACAGGGAAAATTATCTGTAGATACTCTTCCTCTTGTTTTAGTTTTAATTAGCAAAATGCACTCTAGTTTTCCACTACTCGTATCAGCACCACCTCTTACCTGTAGATCATCAAAGAATCCTCCTTATCTGAATCTTGATTAGTCTCACTCTTACAGGACTGCTTCATAGTGCAGAGTTCCTGCAGGACAACAGTATATTTAAGACATTTAAATGCATTTGTATAGTAAAAGTACCTGACATTTATAGCTTGGATTAGTTTTGGAAGCATGCTCACATCCAATGTCACAATAGGTCAGTATGTCAAAGGGAGCCACCAGACTGGATTTTACAGATGTGGAAACTGAGGATGGGACAGACATAATGGTTTGGCCCAGGACAAAGAGCTACTGGATCTGGGAGCAGAATTTCAAAGTGTGAACTCTGAGCTCACTGTACTTCTTACTGTGCTACACAAGTGGCATTATTATAATCCTCGGCTCACAGGCCCTCTGTTCTCACGAGATCTGTCCTTCAGATGATGCACTAATATGGAACAGATGTCCTAGAAACCCAGAGAGAAACTGGGATAGAAAACAATTGAGGGGGGGCATGCAGAATGGAGGAAGTAGATATTGGGTTGAGCCCTATACTGGGATGCCTACAAGTATATTCTTGTGGTAGAGAAAAGAATGCAAATCCCAGGGTACTGCCAAGAAGGAATGATGATGTGCCCTGTAACCAGGAAATGCCTTCAGTCGTTTTTCTCTATACTGCTGCTTTGCTCTTCTTAAATATGAAGAAATGATGACCTAGACCACTGCTCTAAATCTGAACATAAGGACAGCACAGCACATCAAAGCAGAACTTTAAAAGTTAACTTTTGTTTCCTTTAGAGACAAGTGGCTTCCTGAGGCCTAGAAAACACAGTTTTCCACATCTCTCCTCAGCACAAAAATATGAACAGAATATGCAGATGCTGACACCGAAAAGCTCAGAATCTGGTTTCCTTTCCATGAGAAAGGGGACAATGAGCTGAAAGTGATCAAGCCAGGGTGAGGACCTTCCCTGCACTGCTCCTTACTATAAAAGTCCCCAAGCCACCTGTGAACGGTGAGATGCTGCTGTGAGGCAAAATGGGCCCCTCCATCTTCTCGGAGTGAGCTTTAAATAAACCCCTTCTTGAATAGTTTCTCTGGTGTGAATAATCTGCAATAATACAGAAGATCCTAATAAGATTACTGACATTTAGAAATGGGAAAAAAGGAGCTAAAGGTGTAGGGAAGGTGAGATGGGTAGGGGAAGGGTAAAAAGGGAAAAGAAAAAAATGTGAGATAATGAAAAGATGAAAATAAAGTGTTTGTAGATGGGGAGGGGAGGAGGGGGTGAAGGGAGGGCAGGGGTAAGGGGAAAAAATGAGAATCAAGACTTGCCATGTAGAGGTACAAGATCCCAACAATGAATGTAACTGTACTGTATCCCTAAAATGTACCAATAAACTCAATTAAGGCTGAAAACAAAAATAAACCCCTTCTTCCTTTTTACCGAAATACATGGCCTCCTTTGATTTAGTCAGTGGTAGGCAGACAAACTTAGGTTAAAACCCTGAGTGGGCCATAACATTCAGTTTCTGAAATGTGCTCAGGAAGGTGTGCATTTTAAACCAGAGACGCAAAGCAGAGCAGTGCAGCTCATCTCTCTGGAAACTAAGGATAACTAGCAGTGATCTGGTAGGAACAATGACAACCGTGGTGACTGCCAGACTTGCACAGCAGTGTCCTCACAGTATGAACTTAGTCCAGAGCTCTGGATGGGGGCTTCACACTGTGCCCACTTCTCAGTGTCCTGGGACATCTCTCACACCACGCTTGTTGCTCCCACTCTTGTTTCCCTGTTCTCTGTTCACCACCTAGGAACCAGCCTGACCTCTGACAATAAGATCGGGTCACGTAACACACACACACCTCACCCCACCCCACCCTGCTCCCCCCCCAGTGCACTCTGAATAAAACTCACATACACCGCTCTGGATCTCAAAGCCCTACACAGTCTGGCCTGTGCCTACCTCTTGGATCCTGTTTTCTACTACTAAGCCTTCGGAAAGAGACTTGCACTGAGCACTCTGTGAACTCCCTAACCTCATCAGTTATTAGCACATTATTCAATTTTCTCATCTCCACGGCACTTGTCAGTAAGACGTAACTATTGTCTCTCTCCCTTAAGGTTTCCTCAGCATGTTACCTTGCCTGGAACATAAGAGGTATTTGCTAAATATGTTACTGAATGAATAAGTTAATTCATCCCGAAGCTGTCAGGTGGATTCTAAAGATCACCTTTTCTTTTCAGAGGTAGAACTTGTGAGTGACAAATTGGGAGAACATTAGGAGAGCAAGAATTTTCACAGTCAATTACCCAACGAGGAAAAAAAAAGTCACTTCAAAATTTACTTTATAACACAAACTTTCCTTTGTCTACTTCCCAAAATGTTCACTTCTGATCATGAGCCAGATCCAGCACACATCCATTTTACAGTATGTCAAAATCACTTGGAAATGACTGTGCATTTCTTCGAAGAGTGTCTTAACTCTTCACGGAGATGCTCACTGCCTGAGACACAGAAGCTGAGCTTTCCTGCGCCTTTATCTACACACAGTCAGTGCTTTCGCAAGGCCCTCTGGTGGCCAAGAGGCAGAAGGGGATGTGCCCTGCTGAGGAAGCCCTTATGGCCACATGCAGTGTACTCACCTTTAGGATCTCACTATTGATGGCACAAACAGACCCCACAAGAAGGAAACGATCTTCCATGGAAAATTTCATAGCGCTTGATTCCAAGCAGAGGCCGCTGGGAACAAAGCCACCAAAAAACACAAAAGACTCTGAAAGAGATGAGCACACATGTGACAATCTAATTGACAGGTACCAGTTGTTTTTTTCTTTTTACGACATCTGCCCAGTCACTGCACTGTTTACCAGCCCACTGATAAGTTTCAAAATTCTGAGTCATAGGATTTCCCGTCTTTCTTCCTTTCTAGCTAGCCTCCCCCCATGACCTCCACCAAAACATGGAGGAGTCATCACTGAGAATTGGTGGCTGTGGTTTCAGTCTTCTGTTATTATCTCATGGGTGGATGTTAGCATCCAAAAGGAATCTAGAGCCTTTTTTTTTACACAGACCACATGGATATTAATTCTGTGTGTATGTCTTAAGATTTTTAAAAAGGTGTCTGGCATTTAATTTCTAAAAGGCATGAGAAATCTATTAATCAACCTCTGCGTGAGCTATTTACTTATTCATTCATTTCTCATATGCTCATCAATATCTGGTATTACTCACATTTCAAATCTGTGCCACTCTGATGGACACTGTTCACTGACTGTGACGCCTCCTTCTTAGTTTTTAAAATTTCTTTCTCTGCTTCTCGCTGAGTTGGAGCATTTTTTTCATGTATTTGAACAGCTATCTGAGCCGTTCATCTCTGACTCGAACCCCCGACATTTTGTGGCCCTAACTGACTCGTTGGTTACTTTTCCAGCCTGCAGTTCCTGAGCCTCACAAACTCTACGTGAGGCCTGATATCCACACATGACACAAATCTGAATTCTGGAGTATTATAAGTGGCGCATTTCTCTGTCTGTACAAATTTCTGGAGAGATAACTTTACTCTTCCTCTTGGCCAATAGACAGTACTTTAACAAGTGACCTCTAAGTTTTCTGCAGTGGTCCTCGAGAGGGGCTAGCAATTCCAGATCCCAGTCAAGGAAGTCTCTGTATGATTTAAAATCCATCCAGGCCACCACGGAATCCACTCATTGCTATCACTATGCTACTGCTTTATCGCTCAATTTCGGGGACACACAGATGGCATTCTCTTTCACTTGAGCTTGGCTATGCATTAAACTTCTTATTAAGATTTAATTATTTCTTCATTTTATAAAAGGAGAAATACATTCTTCATCATTCCTATGTGACCCCACCTTGTAAATTTCACCATTAACTTGTTAATGTCTAATATGAGTAACCACAAACTGTGACCACAGTGACATCAAAGAGCTCATGATCACCAAGAGTAAGACAACATTTATGTCAGCAATGGCAGTCTACATAAGTCATGAACCTTATTTTAGATCATCAAGTGAATTACTTACTACTGCAAATATCTCTGAGCGTCAGGACAAATTTCACATACTCGTAAATAGGACACTCTCCCTGTGTAGGCATTTCTCTTTTTAAATGACAGCAAAATTCAACATGGCTTCCCACTAAAAAGAGAACAGAAATCAAGCAAGTTTGATCTGTGCTGCAACATATTTTGTAGGATCAGATAGTAGGACCATTTTACAGAGCATTACTTTCTAGCCACTATATGCATGCTGAATCTGCAGAGGAAAGTACTAGCTGGAACATCACACAGTCACTCATTATTTATATAGTACTACTGCAATTATATAAACACTGAGAACAAAGGCTCATGGTAAAGAGTAAGATTTACCGTTGAAGAGCTTTTTTAACACCCGAGATATAATTTGTGATATATGAATTTTTTTCTTTTTGGTACCGGGGATTGAACTAAGGACCTTGAGCTTGCAAGGCAGGTGGCAGAACCACTAAGCTAAATCCCCAGCCCTCTTTTTGTTTTTTTGAGATAGGGTCTTACTGTGCAGTTCAGGCTGGTCTTCAACTCATTATGTAGCCTAGACTGGCCTCAAACTCATGGTGAGCCTCCTTCCTCAGCCTCCTGAGTGCTGGGATTACAGGTGTGCATCACCATGCCCAGCTTTGTGATATATAAAATTAAATTAACATATAATCAAATGCTATAGTGACTTCAGTGCCCTTTTAAAAACTACTCCACTGAGAGCGCGGGAGCTCCTGGCCTGCGCGACAACAGACCCAGGAAGGACCCAAGGACCCCAGAGGGGGTTTTTTTCAGCTGCCTGCCTACCTGCCTGTCTGCGATCACCCGGC